CGAAATCCACCTACGCCCTTTTTTTTTTTTTTTTTTCATACAGGAATCAACATGAAGGAATTACTAATGTTCGTGTAATATTTTCTTCAAGCATTATTGATTTACCACGCGCTATTTTAGCCCTACGAGAGACTCGGTTCATACATTTTGCCAATTTTCTGCGTGCTTTTGCAGTCCTTGCGGATGATTTTTATACTTTTTTATTTTTGAGAGCTATATTCGATAACATTTTGAACATTGTTCCAATTTCGGCTCATTTATTTAAAAAAAAATTAAAAACCAGCAGATTTGAAAAGTGAATCTAATTAATCAATATTCGTGTAAATTAGCTTTATTGGCCACGCGTGCCTTTTATGGTGCTGTTTACCACATACATTTTTCGACAGTCCAAGCGAAAACAAGTATGGTCGAAAAATTAGTGACGATTTACACCAGTCAATTATTTTCCAACTGAAGAAGGTTTTCCTCGTCTCGACAATTTTTGTGCCGGTGATGCTAAATGTGAAGAGAGCCTTCTTGAAATTCATATTGCTGAGCACGAGAATGCTCAAGTCACGACCGCTACTGATGGAAAATTTTCGCAAACGAGTTGTTTGATCCAATTGACGTTACTGAGCCCCAGGTTCGACAGATTTCGACTCAAAAACTTGGGGCATTTACTCTGATAACTTCATTTAAAAATACAGCACTGTACTGACAACAACTTTGAACCATTTTCTCCAACCCCATTTTGGTTCTTTCATGCCCCCAAGGGCGCGAGCATTCTCATCAAAATGAAGGGAAGGGGAACCCCCTCTGTTGAGGCATTCGTAAGGACGTGACGGTACCATCAAAAAATGCAACAATAGCTCGGTCGCAAGGAATTAATGAGACGGCGAATGCCTTTCATACGCAATAATGCGGAAACCAACCTTTTCACACGGCGAAGGCGCCTTGATGTACTGGACATACTTGTTCTTCAGCGGCGAATTGTGGGAGCCGCACAGCAGCTGCCACACGATCCCTCGGAAATGATGCGGCACGCCCTTCCGAACCAGTTCCTGCCACAGGATCCAGAACCGACGGCACATTAGGCACGAGACTCACAAAACAGCAGCAAAAGGTAATGAATGAATGAAGGAAAGAATGAAAGAAGAAGCAAACACGAAAGGAGAACACGAGATGGGACGAAAGGGAACCACCCATGTTGTGGGTGAAGCAACAAATTAAAACGAGACCCCCCGAAAGGTTTGCGGAGGCGCAGAGGTTCTCAAACCTCCTTCAACTCTGGGGGAGCTCGTTTTGGTACAGTACAGCACAGTACAGTATTTAAATGCCGAAACGACTTGGACAATCAATTTTCTTCAAGAAATTCTTGCATTTGAGAGCGGAAATGGTAAAGGAGATCGGCACTGTACTATCCCTGCTCTTAAACAATTCGTGAATGAATGAATGAACAGAACACTTTATTTGCCGCGTTTCAGCGTTCACAAGGTTCAATCAAGATTCCCACAACCAAACCCCCTTCCCACCCAACATAAATCCACTCAATGACATTTTAATCACTTCAGAGCAGGAAAGCACAAATTGATAACAAAAATAAAAGAAAATACAATACAACACGAAATACAACTGGACATCTGACATATTCCCTGACATTGGTAACAAAATATATATTAACAATTCGTTTTCTTGTAAAGTTGTACCACATTTCCAATAAATTTTACAGAAGGGATCGCGGACGTCCCATGGACTCGGCGAGTGCTCATCTCGATAAAATAAATCTAAAATGAATTCGAATTGTACCAATTGCATCGAGAATTCGATAAAACGTGTGAAAACAACTGAAAAGAAGGGTCTCGGTTTGTATGATGAGGATATTCCGGGGAAAAAGTTTCGACCATTTGAGGGAGAGCATCTTTTGGAAGCATACACGAAAACATCGGAGAGGGACACAAATACAGTATCGTGTTCAATTAAAACAAGAAAACAGTATTCAGGGATACGAAATTATTCAACAATGACCTGACGCGATTTCACCACCATCCCTAAACATGTCATAGAACATGTTTTACGAGTATAAGCCTTGAAGAGTGATTTGGTCAGCAGTGACATTCCTGTTCATGCAATTAATTCCGCTGTAAAGTAAATGGAAAAGATTCAATTTTTATCATTCGTTGAGAAAATACCAAGCAGAAAATTCCTTTCGAATTAAACACAGGGAGGTTACAGTTGAAGTTTTCAACGAAAGTAAAAAAAAAAAAGGGGTCATGACAAATTTATAGCATGCGAATAGGTCCAAAGAAAAGTCACCCAATCTTAACGTTAGACTCGTTGAATGGATATGCGTCATTCGTATCCGTTAAACTTGTTTCCCGTGGGAAAATGTTCTGCTGAATGCGTCCTTGCTTAAAAAGAAGAAAAAATGCCCCACGGGCAGTTTTTATTCTTATGAAGATATTAAATTAAACCGGTAGAATTTTCGAACGTTCACACCTTTTCCGCTCACGTGTTCCCCCGGAGGTAAAGGAGTATAGACATTTCGCATGAGTTTCCTGGAAAGAAAACGTGCGTGGGACTTCGAACCGAGCAAATATTTTCAACTTCCTGATACAGTAACACTGAATTGTATCGGAAAATCTAAGGATTTAGTCGAAGTTCGCCATTGTTTCAAATAACGATAAAATGTCGACGTCACAAAAAAAAATCTGCAAAAAATCCAATCACGAGCCCGCTCAACTCTTTCAATACAGATTTGCTGAGTATTTTTAAAGTTAGGAGAACCAATGCCAAAACTGCTGAATTTCCGTCCTGAATTATTATTTTTTTGAGATTCAATGTCTCTCTGCTGAAAGATAATCAATGCAAGTTGGAGAATTTAATGAAAGAGCAATTATAGTATGCGCATAGTCTTGATCCTAGTTACGAAACGTTTCAACAGCACATTTTAGGTAAATCATCGCGACATATTTCCGGGACAGCTTTTATAAATTCAAATCAGTTCCTTAAAATAGTTCTACATAGATTATCAATGCATTAGTTATCATTTCAGAGAAAGCAGGTTATTGCGTCTATGCTGTGGTATGATGGGGGTTTAAGAGGATACTTTTCCTGGCCTATGTAATTTTTTTTTCTTCCATCAATGCAAACATCGCATATTACGGCTTACATATGATTTATGCAAATGCAAGGCGGACTAGACAAAAAGGTTCGAAAGTCTGAGAATGTATCAGACACTTCAGTGGATGTGGATCTCGTGTTACAAACAAAACTTGAAGCGTGAAAAGTACAGTACTTAGTTCTGTAATAGACGGCGGGCGACAGTACTACTTCGTAAAACAGTGTCAATTTGTAACTACCATTCAACAGTAGAAATCTTTCACGAAAAAATCAATCACGGGATCAAATTGATTCCATTTATACAGATACATTTCGTCTAAAACTTCCTCATACGAAGAACCCTGTAAATATTTTTATTCCTGCGCTTGACAGTCGTCCACTTGAATGTCAAGAAGAAAATACCTACTTTTCGCCAAGATGAAGATTTTTCACTAATTGAGGACTCATGGGATATAAAAAATCGAGGTTTTGGACAGTTTCAGAATTTCAACTGTATCGGGTTCTAGAACATATTTATTCGTCAAGGGAGTCAAATAATATACCACTGAACCTGAATAACTCAAATCTCCATGTGTCGAATTTTTTCAAGTCGCTGTCTGAATTCACTAGATAACAAAATGTATTAAAAACGTTTCCCTCAAACCTCCATAAATAAAATTTTCTAGAGGCTTTTCGACTATTTTTTTCATGACACAGGAAAAGATAAAAGCAATAAAAATCCAACATAATGCAGTTAGAAAGGAGGCGAGAGACTGATTGGGCCAATGAACTCTTGCCTCCACATTCAGCAGCATCCTGTCCACTCATTTATGAAGCAATTTGAAGTCCAGAATGTCACCAATCGCAAATTTTTTTTTTGTAATTCCTCTTTGTTTCCCACAACAAAAATGTTAGTCTCTCTCACTCGAAATTTCCCCATCTCGAAATGTTTCTTTGGTCCCCTAAAGTTTGACTTGAAGAGGTTCAACTGCACAATAAAACCACGAGGTCAACCGCAACGCATTGCTCTATCCAATTTTTTTTTTTGTGCGTGCAAAAAAGTACTCTTTCCTAGCGAAAAAGCGCCAAATAAAACATGAACAGACCAGGAATCCAAGAAATTTTGGCATGGAGACATGGGACGCGTTGGAAGAGGAAGAAAAAGAAAAAAAAAAACCTTTCAGTCATGTCTCATGTGTGTGTGATGGGGCCCCCCACACGGGTTTAGCCCCACCAGAAAAGTCCAACACACTCAAGAGGGGGGGGGGGGGGATGATGCTTTCTTACCCGCAGCTGCTGGTTTTTCTTCTTGGAGAAATTCTCCCAGTCGTTGACGATCTGTCCCCAGAGACTCCAATTCTCGTCCTGGGAATTCCGGTCGACATCGTCGCCGTCGGGCCCGTTTTGTCCGCTGGAAGACCCGCCGCTGGCAACCGACACCTGCACGTGACAAACAGCCCAGAGCACGTTTAGCGGACACGAGCAATTTCTCGACACCCCGGTTGATTAAATTCTCATGTATACCTACCTCATCGTTGCCAAACACCCACCTCCTTCTTGAATAACTCAGACGCGTCCAACTTGGTCAAGTCATCATGAAGTTTTACACTCCCTTAACGAATCATATTTTCTAAATATATTCCAGGCTTCTGAAAGCACGTCGGTTGCAACAATATTTTCTGAACGCAAAAACAAGTTACTCGGTAGATTGAAAAAAGAAAATCCTTACGTCTTTCACGGGGGTCCGATAACAAGGTTCGATTTTCTGGAGCATGCCGAAGAACTTTAAATTTACGATGCCGAGTTTCAATTTTCCATGCCTCAAACTTTAAAAATATTCACGAATTTATGGAAATATGCGAAAAGAGAAACAGAACTTGGCCATCGAATACCGCAAAGAAACCGACTGGTTATTGATGTAAAAGAATGATGACTGAAATTCAAGTACTGTGCCGTAAAATAATTTAGAACGTCTGAAACAAGATATATAGCAATAGAATCATGAATGCTAATTTGTGGCCGAATATTTGGAATACCCACCAGTTTTCTCAACGTATAGCCTTCGAGAATTTGTGAAGAAATAATAAACTCGACAACAGAACTCAATCTGAGTTTTTTAAAATTATATAAGCAATAGGACACATCTAGTTGATTGTCACGTCGCACGAAAAAAAGGTCCACGAAATCTAGTCTCCGCTAATACTATACTCCGTTACATTGAAATAAATAACATTACAAAAACCATTTCAGTCGGTTGTATATTCATTCACAATGGTAGACTGAAAGATAAGTAAGCCGAGTGCATGATAAAAGTTTGAAAAAAATTGTTTTCGATAGGATCGCAAGGAACACATGATGGCCACAGTGATTTTCCTTGAAAGATCGACGATTTATTTATTTTTAACTTCTTCCAAAAAGCTAGGCAATTAAACATTGAACAAAAAACATGGCATCAAAGAAATACTGTACCGTAAACAGTACACAGTGATTTTTCTTAAAATAGTACAGTGTATTTCGCGTGAAAGCTTGATTGAAACAATTAACGACATGTGACAACGGAACATTTTTTTAAAATGCGCACACGAGGGGAAAAAACAGTCGGAAGTCAAGATTGTCGGAAGTTAACAAAGAAATACACCTACCTCAGTTTATTCGAGAACCTTTCAACCTGACTCAGAGACTAACCATACATGGTAAGCATAAATTTACCAAGAAGCATTATCACGAGGTAATTTCTTCCTCGCGATAAAAACCCTTGGCAGAATCACTGATGGAGCGAAGAACCTTGGCACACCCAAGGATCCAACTTTGATGAGACTGAGCAAGGATTTAAAAAAAAAGGAGCGGATCGTTTTCCAAAAAACAATTTTAATGAACAGCCACAAAATACAATGGGTAAAACATGTTTCTGTCTCTGGAAAAAATTACTCGCTTCTCTTCTTACTAAGCTACTCGATGATCGCGAAAAGCATTAGGTTTCAAATTACCCGCAACGCGCTTTCTCCACGCTGGCTCATTGTCTCCGCTTCACGAGTTCCGAGTCTTTTACGTTTTTTTTTTTATTATTGATTTATAGGCTATGGCCCATTTCAAACCCAACGACCATTTTCGTGCCAGAAAAATCAGTAATGAAGTGAATTTCACTTCCAAACTCACCTGTGAAGTGTCCGAACTGCGCCTCGAGTGCCCACTGTTGTTGGACAGGGAATTGAGCGACTTGGCGTCCGTTTCGATTTGCCTGCAAAATACGCAATAAAACGGAAGGTCCGTGTTTAATTTCCAGTGGATTATTCAAAACAGATGATCACAATATTAAGATCATTCACTGTGTGGAAAAGAAAAGTACTCTAGTCTATAGTATATATTCGAAGAGTGTTCGATTCCATGATCATTCCTCATTTTTCAATGACGAAATCTGACTTTCTTTTCTGAAGCGAAATCTGCCAAAGAGATTCGATTACAGTACAGCGCTGCAACTTGAACATTTGTCTGATTTTAATGGTCACTAGATTATCAGCTTCTTGAATAATTTCAGATTGACCATGAAATTTACGAAAGTTTCATTTCTTTAAGAAAATTCGGATTTCCTTCAAGCATCCGACAAAAATGTGCTCTGAAAGCTGCAGCCTTCCTTCCGGTTTGGATCTTGAACTCAACATGAATCAGCAGTAAGCGAAACAACGAAGAATAAATTTGAGAGGAATGTATAAAAACCCCACCGCACCTCCAGAATCACAAAGTGGTACTTGATGAGGCCCAACCTCAAACTCAGTAAATTGGGTTCGTTTTCATCAAGCAGTTTACCAAGTGACGTCACTCGGAATTTATAATATCTTTTCAAAGTAAACGCTGACGTGACAGATTCCAACACACCTATTCCCCAGAAACTATTCTTCCCTCACAAATTTATCCAAAGGTTATCGGTAAAGTATTAAATAAATGAAAATGGTTCACTGTCGGAGTAATAAAAAATATTTGCCGAGGTCATCGGAAGTCGGAATCAACAGAGATCCAGATAAATCTCGAACCAAAAACTGTAAATCTCAGAAGCCAAGGAAAATGTCTTGCTTTACATAATTTAAATTATTCTCGTCGTCAGCAAATATTTCAAGGTGCGATCATGGAAAAGACGCTTCAGCAAAACATAATTCGTTTACGGGGTTTCAAATGAAGGAGAAAACACTAACGGTAAAACTAGCGAAGAACCAATTGAAGAACATTTGGAAATTGACCAATCGAAATTTCTCTGCGACATTTATTCAAATATCACAGAAATATTCTTTGTGATTGTGGCATATCGAAAATATTAGCAAGTCTTATTTCCTTTCCTGCAGTTGAAAAAAAAACAAAGATTGACATAATTTTCACAGAGCAATAATTCTTTTTTCCATGACCTTCAAGTCTTTTCCCGTCCACGACGGGAAGAAAGGGGTTAATGAAAGTGAACTTCATCATGAAGTAAAAATGAGTTTTCCTTGTCAAACTTGCCGTTTTATGGATTTGTAGGCAGTGAGGGAGCTCACAAATAGTTCGAATGATTGACGAAAGAAGTTTGTGTGACAATTTTCCGAGTTTACCAATCATGTATCTATTAGAAATAATTGCAATCTTTCCAGTTTTCGAGCTGGGGTAGTTCAACGAGAAGGTTGACCTCAAATCACGTCAGGGCTGCAATTGAAAAAAAAAATTACTTGAAAAAAAAACCGACATTTGCTTCCAAGTTTGTTCCTGATCTGATGATCTCACAAAGCGGTTCGGAGAATTCTGCATCCGAAACCTCAACATATCCACGAACTCATTTCAATGCGCTGTTAAATTCAACGCTGAAACCTTCCCTCAAAAGATACGGTATACAAACAAATACAATTAATCATGAATTCCCAACCGTATTCGCTTCTCACCCATAATTTTTCTCACGCACAACGGGCCAAGGGGTTCCCTCCAAAACAGCAATGTACTGAACCCCGTTGCAGCCCTTGACCACGACGCTTTCGTCGAAAAAGGATCCGAAAGAACGACTCCGGGTTCGACTCAAAACGGCGTTCATCAAAGTAGCGGCGTTCACTAGGCTGGTTTGACGACGAACCCTGCTCTCATCACCGCCGCCTTCACCGCTTCGGCGCCGCCGCGTTGTCTGATGAGCGTAGTACGCGGATGCCGAAAGTGGCGGCGAAATTTTACGAACGACCCGCTGCGGCGCCGGAGCCAGCATCGGATCGGACGCAAGGGACATGCAATAACTCGCGAACATACTTGTACTTTCAAAAAGAAACCTTTGCGTATTTCTATTTGCGTATTTTCTTTTTATTTGCGGCCACCCTTTATCCCTGAAGGTTTGAAATAAAAACCAATTTTTAGAAAAGAAAACCCTTCAGGAAAAAGCTTGAACAAAGTTTGAAAGCGGTATTAATTTTTGCCGCTATTGAATCCTAATATTGGCCGAACGCACGGCAAAAACTTTTTAAAAGCTTCACCATGAAAGTTTTCTGGTCAGAAATTTATCGAAATTCAGAATTCAGTGTAGAAACTATACATGGGTTCAAATTTCGAAGTCCTTCTGTGGGGATGGAATTTTGAGCACGGAATATTCTAAATGGGGAGTTTCACTGAATCGAAGTAATTTACAGGACAAAATAAGAGTTTTGATAATCATGTAAGAACTTGGAAATACAGTAGTTTTAAGAAGTTGGCAAGCTCGCTTTAAACTATCACCTCCCTGAACTAATGTACTGTACAAGATCTTGAGTGAAGACTGAAATTCAGATCATTTTGCCATTACAATTTCGATAAGAAGCATTCGTATTTCCGTTTAGCACTGAACTAAACATTTGAGCACGCTTCGAGAACTCTATTCAAGACCGTCGAATTTCTATACAACCATAAAAATAATTACAATATTTGACAACTAATAAGAAACATTCACAAGCGTTTACCGAATACTTGAAGCAGCACAAATCAGACTACTTTGAGGCTTCTGAAGTCTCGAACAATTAAAAAAAAAAACATTCAAGATTTCGTTGGAAGCACGTTTCCGCCTGAATAAAAAAAAATACTGCAAACATTTGGAAACAACTTGAAGCACGACAGCACAGAAATACCTAATCTGAGTCACTCCGCAACGTAATACCGAGCTTACAGAAATCCTTCAAAGGAAGCTTGTTTAACAGAAAAGTAAACCACACAAAAAAGTAAAATTAAGACACAGCTCAAAGCCTCGAACCCGGACTTTTTTTTTTTTTTTCGTCGTGTCCAAAGCCGAACTCGACGCCAAATGCGTCGCGCGACGCTGCATTGATCCCAGGCCCAGAACAGTATCGATAGAATCGCGCAAAATTGCTCGAACACACACACACACATACCGACACACCAGCGAGCTTCAGGCGCAATTTCTATGTGCCAAAAACTAGCCCCATGGCAACCAGCGAATAATTGGCGCGAGAAGGAATCGGGTTCACGGCCGAACTGGGCGCAAAGTTCGTCTTTCGGCAATTAAATAGCAGAGGTCACGAGACGGGTTACGAAAATTTTCTTTCTCTCTGTGGCAAAAAAAAAAGCGCGTTCAAGGAACTGAAGTCGATTCAAGCAATTTTCGTCAATCGCTGGACACATACACCAATAACACGCGATGCACGATCTTCGGTGAAGGGCTTCAATTTATGTCTCAATCAGTCTCGAAATTACTCCATTTGGCAACAGCCCAACTGATGTACTTCGTATGAAGTCTCACAGAGAAGTCTGATTTCCAAGTACAGTACAGTACTAGATTCCTCTTTTATTCCTTTGCAATACGCTTGATCAGCCATTAATAAATATATAAAATAAAAACGAAGAGATAAAAACGACTGCATTTCTAATTTTTCCTACCCAGGGCACTTCAAAGATTTACAAGATACTTCATAGTTAATCATTACGATTTCAACAATTCTGATCAAAAACTTCAATTAACCGAGGATTCAAGTGATTCCCACTGAAGAGACGGAAACGAATCCAAAAAAATATTGAGGATTGATGCATCAAGTTTAAAGAATACCGGAATAGGAAAAAAATGCTCGAATCAACTCTTACATGCAAAATGTTCATGCAATAAACACAATCGTGAAAAGATCTGCTTTCTGGATCCAGAAGACTGTTTCATTTTCTGGGGCAAAGTCGACTGCGACCGTGAGATAAGAATTTTTTTTTTTTATAACATACAACAATAACCTCTTTTCCCCAACGGGGTTGAAGGCATGAACACGAACCAGTTCAACTTCAAGAAAAAGGGGCCACATATTTCATAGGAAGGGACCCCTTTTAGTGTAATGGCGCATGCACAACCATCGAGTCATTGCATTCGACTGAACCTCTGCCCTACTTTCATGGCCATTCAAGAACCCCTTTCTCTGATACCAGGGAACATGTCACAAAAACCCTCGTCATCTCACCCATGAAACGTTTATGCGTCGCATGCGTCCACGTACCATTTTCATACGTTTCGTTGACGATAAGTAACCAAAAAAAAAAAAAAAACTCTTGCTTTACTCATAATGACGAGAATGGCGAAAGTAGAACACATCAGCTCGAATCTGTTGTACGCTAGACTTTCAGGTAGAAGAAAAAAGAAAAAAAAAACGAATTCAACAAAATTTTCATTCTTCATCCCACGGAAAATTTGTTGAATTTTTCTCAAGCTCGTTCAAATTATTCTTACCTATGTCAGAAATACGCTCGTATTATTTTGACGACTGAGAATACTTTCTGGAATATCAGAGAGGTGTCGCCTGAATAGATCAAGATGAACCTATCTATGACAGTAAAATTACCAGGACATGCCTGGTCCAATACACATAAAACTATCCTGATAAGTTGCATCAGCAAAAGTTTAATTTAGAGAATTCCTTGCTCCGCCTTAATCTTAAGGAAATTCAGCAAAACACAGGCGATTCCCTGTGTTTTATGGCGAAGGAAATGAGTCGCAAACGCCGGAAGTAAAATAGAGACGCACAAATAGAATTACCCAGAAGCAATTTCAACCGAAAATGAAATTTAGCTCAAAATTCATCATATTAAATCAAAAGAAAAAGTCAACTTCAAAGATTCTCCAGTCGGGTCTCGCCAACAGTTGCGTAACCAGAAAAATTTTTCCCCGGCCTTGAATGCCAGCAACAGAAAAAAAGGTTCAAATACAGATTCTTGAAATGATTGATGAAACTTTCAACAGTTGATCATAATCCCGACCCAATGCATCAGCACAATGCTGTACCAAAACAAAAGTTATCAAGCAGAAAATGCGTCATCCTTCGCTACTTAAGCCGTTTCAGAGAAATACAGTAATCAGTCGATTATTTTGATTTATTCTTCGATTTAAAATAAAGAGCAATATATTTTCTCAATAGATAATTCAAATCTTGATGGTTCCTTTATTTCCTCGCAAAACTGATGAATATTGCGTGCATGATTCTAAAAATAGGTCCGAACAGAAAATGCTCCACCTTCTCCTCGGGATATTCCAGCAGAGTTTTTTCATTCCGGAGTTGAGCGACTTGAAAATTTCATTCGTCGTCCGGAATTCGACTGGAAGCAGGAACGCAATACATCCTTTGATCGGGAACCCCCCCCCCCCCCCAAATATTTCCATAAAAAAACGTAAAAGACAAACTTCAGAAATCCAATCCTTCCTATAGCTTCCAGCCCAGCTAAAATACTACCGCATACGATGCGGATCGCCCGAGAAAATTGCCTTCCGCGAGAAAAACAGGGCCAGGGTCTGCATCAAATATTCATGGCAGGGTTTTCCTTTCCCGAAAGAGGCGGGAACATGAGTGAGGGATTTCCTCGACGGGCTTCGACAGGGTTCCTTTCCCCTCCCCTTAGCTCCCAAAATCCTTCAATCCCTATCTCGGCGAACACAAGGCTGTCTAGGTTACGGCATCAAAGGAACTTCCTTCACATGTGCATATCACATGCGGACGGGTCATCAAGTCGGAAAATCTCGCCTCGGGGAAAACTCGAAGCAAAAAAACCCGACCCGCTTTACAGGTAAGACTCGATGTCAGACCCATATTTCCTTCCGCCCGATTTAATTTCTAATTTGTCTTCGTCGGAATTGGAAGTCACGGGTCACGCAAGGAAAAAAAAGGGCGTAAAAAGTTTCTGTATTATTCACGAGTCAGGAACTTGTTAGAAAAACACTCAATGAATTGCAAGTCAATTTAAATATGTAAGAACATGCGATTTTGTAGTTATTTTAGACAATTTGTACGAATAAGGATGAGCCGTTGAATTTTAGAAGTGCTCGCTTTTTTTTTTTCAAGAGGATAAGGACTGGAATTCTATGCGGTGGGACAAGCGTACTTAACATGATAAAAAAAAGTGCAATACACTGTACTTGATCAATTTTGGGGGAATTCTCCTGTAACTCGGACTTCTTAGACAATTTCTGTGGTCAATAACTGACTAATCCGAAAGTTTCCGTAAATTACTGAACGAGTTGTCTAAGTCAAGACAGCAATCGCAGAAAATCCTTCGCAAATGAAGAGAGGCTCAGCTCAGTTATCCGTCGCTTCATGCATCCCAAAAATTGGAATAACAGGGTTCGAAGGATTCTGAAAATCTAAATGGTTTTTCTCAGTAGAGTAGAGTATACTAGAGTTAGGCCTCAAAAACTCGAACCTCCAATAGTCGAATTCTCGAATAACTCCCCAAGTCAAATTTTCTTCAAGTCCCTGTCTGAATTCCCTTAGAAAAAATACATTAAAAACCTCTCAACTCAAAGGCTTCTCCTCTCAAGCCTCAGTAACTCGAATTTTCTAAGGCCTTTTTGCCACCTTTTTTTTTCTTGACATAGGAAAGATAAAAGCAATGAAAAGTAACGATGCGTTTGGAAGGAAGTGAAAGATTAATTGGGCAAATGTACCCCTGCCTCCAAGTTCAGCATGCTGTCAAACCCATTTAAGAAGCAATTCAAGGCCCAAAATAAAATATTAAAATATCCTGCAATTCTTCTATGCTTCCCACAACAAAAATACTTGTTTCCCTCAGTCAAACCCTCTCTAAGTCGATTTTTTTCCAGTGGCTCGGCTGTAGCATCCATCTCATGCTCCGAAAGCAAACTACTTCATTTTCATCCGTTTCCGCCTCAACAAAAATGTTCCAATTTCTCATTCTGGGTTTCAAGGATTTTCCTGCTGCCGTAAACACGAGGAAAAAATTCCCCAACTCAAATATTCCGCACGTCAGAGACTTGAAATTTTCACTACTGACCTGAATTTC